ATCTATCTATCTATCTATCTATCTATCTATCTATCTATCTATCTATCTATCTATCTATCTATCTATCTATCTATCTATCTATCTATATCACGTTTGATCATAGCATTTTGGCTGAAATATAGAAGCAGAGGGGGGTATTACTTGAATAACTTTCTGTTTTTTTTAATAGTCCTTTTAGTAGTTTAACTGCATTTTGCTTTTAAATTTTACTTGCGAAAAAAAATATAATGAAGTTGTGCTACTCCTACTTGAGTAAAATGTTAAACTTTACTCCACCGACCTTGACTATTTTCATCCAGTGAAGATCAACTGTTTAAAAAATGCCAGAGAGACAAATGATTGCCTCCTTGTTTTTATTTCTATCTGCTGATTCTCCTGTTATGATGAGGTCAAGTAAACTGGTCAAGATAGGGTGTCCTATTCTGCCAAAAATACAGTTTAAGGTTTATGTGGAAAAACCAACAAAGGAAACACATTTTGAAAACCCCATCCATTATCTTGCAAATTTTTGTGTAATAATTATTTTATATGTTTTTTTTTTTTAATTCATTATTTAAAATGTCATATATATATTTCACTTTATTTCATGGGTAACTTTATGTAATTTTTATACCAGCTGGTATAACCAGTTACTCTGTACTTGAACAGCATTTTACATGTACAATTTCTAATGCATGATGTCTTTATATTTATAGATAAAGTATAACAATGCAAATTTCTGTTCTGTGGGAAAAAAATGGTGGGTGGCGGAAATATGGCAGTTCCAAAGGTACTGGACCGAAATTGTGAATAATTTGTTCTGACACACTTTTCTTCACAAAAAAAGTTTTTCACATTTCTAAAAAAACTCACAACATGTAGATATTTTTTTTATAGGTCTGTTATAATGACTCTCTGCTAACAAATTTAAATTTCAAAGAGAAGAAAATGGTTTTACTTTTTTGTTTGTTTTGTTATTAAGCCTAATTGTAGTTTCTATTTATTTTGATTTAGATAACTGCAGCGCGCGGGTTATGTAATGTCCACATCGTCACGTGACGCGTGCCTTCATCTGCGTTTTGCTATATTTATGGCATTTTTCATCCACCAATAATTTTCACAGTAACCAAATTGTAATTTACGTAATTTTTTCAAGTTTTCTTTTCTGTTTTGAACCACAACAAGAGAATCCTCAACAAAGATCCACTATTAAAAAATCGAAGACAGATGGATAACTCCTACAAGTTTCCTCCTGCGCATTCCAGACGCTGATTGGATAATTTGAGTAAACCTTTCCCTGGTTGGATAATATCCTGAACATCGCGTGTGATTATTGGCGAACAGACACATTTTTAGTGAGTACGTTTTCGCCCAATCCGGTGTCTTGTGACTCCTCTCCACAACAACACGATCTTCGGCATAAATTACATGCGTGTAAGCGTACACTACATTTGCGAAAAATGGCAGCTGACGAATAGAAAAAAGTGGATCTTCAGTCGAAAAAAGACGACACTTGTAAGTTCCTTCGTTAAAGTAAATGAGATATATATTTGGGAAAATTGAAACTTGGAGCTAGTCGAGTCTATTTAGGTGTAATTGTGCATCATGATGTGATAGAAAGTGCTGTGAGAAGGTTAAGGCTAAGGTTAGCCTGCCCAGTTATTAGCCAGCAGCCGCGGCTAGCCAACCGAGCGCCTCCAGTTGTCAACATTGGGCCCAGACTATTACCTGTGACTGGTTTACGTTAGCGTCGCCTTCATGTTTTTAAAGCTAAAATGCAATTTAGATATTAATATTAACCTTATAGACCGAAAGTAAACCTGTGTTGGCATTTTCTCCATTTAGCTGCTATCAATTAAACATTTAGATGCTGCTGATGGATGTCATAAAGCGAAGCTGGACAAGGAACCAGTAAGTTTGGGAGTTAAAAAGTGCTCAATAAACCAAACCCACAAAAAGTATTTTATATAATTTCAATTATTTTTCATATGTTTTAACTTTAGCTTCTTCCATTAGTAATAATTGCGTCCGTATATATTTTAATAATAGAAATCTGACTCAACACGTCCTGATTATAAAGTCTTATTATCATCAATGTGAAATATTTAGCTTTATTTTAAGTTAAAAGGTTATCATAAGTTGGTTTGTTTGACACATTGTTGTGGTGGATGGATCGTGGTGAATCGTGTGCATTTCACCACAGCATGGAAAAGTAGAGGAAAGAAGTGTGAAATGGGCTGTCCCAGCTCACCCCACAGGCCTGCCTTTGGAGCTCATGAAAAAGCCCCAGTTCGCTTCAGGCTTCCTGTTTTAGTGGGAGTCGATTACTGGAAAATTCTAAAGAAAAACTTTACTGTAAAAAAAAAAAAAAAAAGTCCACCTTCTTTTCACCTTTTATGATTAATGTTTTCTATTTTTTTCTATGCTTTTTAAATTTCTGCTTTCTGTGATAAAAAAAAAAAGATGAAACCAAAATGATTTGCTTCTGGGCTCTACCTGGCCTTTTGCAAAATGTATTAAGGATTTCATATTAAATTCTGTTTCCTGGCTCTTGCATAATAAATGGTATCTTGAACTGTTCTAAAAAAAAAAAAAGAAAATTAAAGGTAATCTACTGGACTTTGTTTGCAAGTTTAAAGACGTTTCGCCTCCCATCCAGGAAGCTTTCTCAATTCAAAATGTAAGAAATTGTGTTGAGCTCAAGGTTTTCTCATACCAGCGCATTATTCTGAGGGTGTCTGGACTTTGTTTCCAAGTTAGAAGACATTTCGCTTCCCATTCATTTTAAGGGGGTCTGACAAATTACTTAGGAAAAAAAAAAGTAAACTCTATTCCTGACATTTTGAATTGTGAAAGCTGGGAAGTGAAACGTCTTCAAACTTGGAAACAAAGGCTACGTTCACACTGCAGGCCTTGATGCTCAATTCCGATTATTATTATTTTTTTTTTGCGTTCCTGTTCATATTTCCAAATATATGCAACTTCTATGTGATCTCTTGTGTGAACTGCAGTCATACAACGCAGGTGTCCCGCATGCGCAGTAGAGGACGCAATGACATCACAGGCCAGTGTGCTCTGTGTTTATTGAAGTAAACATGGAGGGTAGTGCCGGCGTCTAGCGATCTTTTCCAACCATAAAAACTCAATCTTTTCAATATGGTTAAACATAATTACTGCTCTCCGCATCATCATCTGCCATGGTTGTTGTTTCTCCTGCCGCTTCTGTGTAGCAAGACCCAGAATAGGGACCTTTGTCGGATATTAATGATGTTCAGGTCGGATGAATCCGACCTGGCTGTTCAGAGACCGGTCGCATTTGAAAAGATCAGATTCGTATCGGATTCAGGACCACAAAGCCAAGTGTCCTGGGTCGGATTGGAAAAAATCAGATCTGTGTTTTTCAGACTGCCATGAAGAGATCAGTTCCAGGTTGCATATGGGCAACAAAATCAGATTTGGGTCCCTTCAGGCTGCAGTGTGAACGTAGCCATTGTTTTTAATTAAATTTTTTTTGGAATGACTATGCCATGGATGACTGTAAATCTTTACCAGTGTATCTTGAACTGTTAAAACTCAAAACAACATGGTACCACCACCATGCTTCAATGTGGGTGTGATGCACCATATGGTATATTAGACCTTCCATTCTGAACCTTAGGGTCCCGACCCCAACTGGGGTCGTGAGATGATTTCAAGGGTTGCAAAATCATTTTGGAAAAATATAAATGCACAAAGTTAATCTAGCTTCCAACCACACATAGAACGATGACGAGCAGTTGGTCTCTAACTGGCTTTTTATTACTCAAAAACAGTTGCTGCCTGTTGTAAATGGGCTTCTTCCCTCCGTTTTTCTCTTCCATCTGCTGTCAGCAAGAGCGGCGGCTGCAGAAAGCATTCACAGACAATCTGAAATGACGGAACTTAAATATTTGCTTACTTAAACATTCTAAAAGTTAGGGTCACTACATTTATATTGAATGAAATAAGATTTTTTTTTTGTTCAAAATCCATTGTATCAACACTGTGTGGCTTTTTGTAGTTGTAGCTGTAGTTCTCCCTTTGCTGATTATTTGACAGACCCAAAGTGGTAGGCTAGCCTCGCATTTTTATCCAGCATTTTAAACAAACTGAACAGCTTAAACTTGTCCCTACAAGGCCCAACCACAAATGTTTTATTCTACCTGATACGGTCACAGCATTTAAGAGAAACCTGGAGCGGTGTGCGAGTGGATGGGCGAAGTGTTGAAATGTTCCCGGAGCTTGAGGACCGTATTGAGCTTTAGTGTTCAAACTATGAAACAAATTATGATTGCCTCTCACCTCTGAAGCCTCCCTAAAAGTTTCACTAAGTATTTACCAAATGATGAAACTCCAGAAAAGTACGACTGGATACGCCGGCCGTTCTCCACCTTCTCCGCGCATCACCTATCATCAGAGCTGCAGAACGCCTTGCTCCTTCTCTCCTCTGATCGCACATTAGACTGTTTTTTCTGCATGCACACCAGAATAGTTCTAGTTGCCAGTAGCAACAGTACGCAGCACCATCAAAAGCTGCAACTGATGGTCTGTTTCCATTTCCATCCACATAACTGTCCCGAAAATACCATTTCTGCGCTGACGTACATGAAAAACAAATACTGATCATGCTGTTATTGTTTTATTATAAGGAAATTAAAATGTGTGTTATTTGTTTACATTTTTAACATAAACTGATGGGTCTGGTCAGAAAGTCTGCCTCTTGATGCTACTTATTATTATTATTTTTTTTAAATCCCAGTTTGTTTACAAACAAACCGATAAAGAAACTAATAGTGGATTAGCAGGGGGTCATGGACAGCAGTGCATGTTAAATTGGGCATCGTGACTCAAAAAAGTTGGGAACCACTGTAGTCTCAACGTGACAAATCACAGCCAAGCGATATAAAGAAGTAAGAAATAAAGCTAGCATATGGAGCAGCTAATATGTGACGTAGAGCTCATTTATCCTCACTATAGATACTCCTATTTTGAAAGGAGTATCTGCTTATGCCACAGTTGCTCCATGTTTTTTCTCCACATAATGATGATTATCGTCACAGTTGCAGCTGTATCTTAAATGTTGTGAACTATAACCTTTGACAGCCAGATCTATGGTTTTGGATGTAAGATGTGATCAGAGCAAAGTTAGAAGAAGCCTTCCAGAGCAGCTGATCCTTATATGGGGTAGTACAGAGGCAATTAGCATGTGGTTGATTCTGGGAGCTCATTCTGAAAGCATCCCCATTATTTACCAAGTTTACGAAGTTCTAATATTATTGCCAAATTATTGTAAACAAACAAACAAAGTATAAGCTTTTCTGAAGTAGGTCCAGCCTGGTTAAAAGTTACCAGTGAGTGTAATTGGTCCTCTTTAAAAGTCTCCTTTGAACATTTTTACCTAAACTTTCCAGAGAGGTTTGGATCAACCAATATTTCGCTCATCTTCCCTTTTCTTTTACAATGACCTTATCATTATCTGTGAGCTCTAATACTTAAATTGATAAACTGTGAGGATTAAGGGCAGCAAAACTCCATCCAGCTGATCGGGGATATTTTGGCATGAAAAGCTCAAATGCATGAAGCCCACAGTGTGAAAGCCTGGTTAGACTTCTGCAACCGCACACATCAAATGTTGCTTGGGTCTGGTTACGAGCCAGTTTTTCTTGTGCTTCTGCACCGTCGGTCTGGAATTTCTAGGGACGCACAGCAGTTTCCCACCAAAGCGCAAGGGGGAGCCTATTCGAGAACTGTGGCGGCGCCGACTGGAGTGTTTATTTTCCAAAACAACAATGGCGCGTCTGCAAGAAATTACGGACACGGAGATGGATTTAGATTTTCTAGACATCGAAGAGGAACAGTTTCTGTTAATGGAGTTGGCAAAAAGACAAAGGAGGACGCGTAGGTGGTCTGTACGCCCCCTGAATCAGACCAGGGATGAGAGTGGGGAGTTTGTGACACTAGTCCAACCCCTGCGACAGAGCGAAGAGCATCACTTCGTGAAGGACAACCACAGAGACAGAGACTGTGAAAGGCATACCAATGACCAATCACAGCTTTTTTTGTCTGCCCACTTCCACTTGAGGTCTGCGCGGGTTTGCGACATTCCGATGCGTAGTCAGGATTTTATTTAGGTGCGCCATGACGGCTGCGGAACCTCTGCGTGGGGGGCGTGGTCGCGCACATAGAGAGATTTGACGGTTGCAGAGGCTATGCATCAGAAGCATAAATTGGCCTTAAGAATCATCAGAATATTTCCTCGAGAGGACTTTGCTTTTAGCTTAAAGATATAAAATCTGATTTGTTATATTGAGCTTCTCTAATTCTAAGCTGTTGTCTTTTTAGGTTTCTACAGACAAACTGGGTGAACAGCCTCCACCCTGTTTATCATCCTAACTGTTTCATCATTGCCAATCCATCATCATGGGGAAAACACCAATAAAAGGCAAGAAAAGTTTAGATTTTTGGCTTTGTTTGACGTAAACATCCTGGAAGTAATACAGACCTTCATTTATGTGTAAAAATATTTTCTTTTTTGAAAAGATTTGTTTGCTAATCGATGCTGTGAAACAGTCATTTGGCTTCTTAAATTATGCTTTGGGTCTGTGTGGAATTCTGCAGTTTAGGGTCAAATTACTGTTTTTGTCATAATGTCTATGAAATCCCTTAAACTTTAAATGTTTTTAACGTTTAAAAGATAACTTTTCAAATACCAACATAAAGCTTTATTTTTTTTCTCACATTAGAATAAATGAATAACAAACCTTCATGCAGAGGCTCAGATTTTATGGTGTAATTCTTTTTATTCCAATGAATAATATCTCCTTATTTTCATATACTAAATGTTATGCTTTTTTCTCACCATCATTTCATTTCTTAATGCTCTTTTTTTCTTAATTATCAGACCAGAAAGACGGCAAAAAAGAGAAACTACCAGGTTCGACCCCTGCAACACCTAAAGGTAGATATTCTAGTTCTGTTATTTGATCATCAGATTTTATTTCTATCTGCTTTATTTTGTTTTGTCATTAGTCAGAACACTCAGGAGTTCTTTTATATCATATTTAATAGACATTTTATGTGTCTTTTAGGGGTGTCCTGATACAGCTTTTTCATTTCATTTTTTATTCATCAGTCATTAACAATGGTTATTAGAACAACAGACCCATTTATGGTTGACAAAAACGTCAAACAGAAGCAGAGTGTTACTATCAGCCGATATAAGATTCTAGATGAAGGCAGATACATTCCATTATTTGTTTTTTGGCCTATTTTATTTTTTTGAACTGATTTCTGATATGAATTTTGGATCAGGACATCTCTAATATGTTATATGAACTTGTTCATGATACGAAACATGAGGCAAAAAAGAACCCCTGTCCTTAAACTGAATGAAAAAACATCTCAGCGCTAAAACAGCAGATTGATATCTTTTTTCAGAATGATGTTGGGAGCAGTGAGGAATGAAGGATCTAATGTAGGAAAGTGTTTTAAGCTTATAGTTAAAAATTAACTGTCAAATAACATTCTACTTAAAGTTATTTATGACCCGGGATATTTGTCGGCTGTAAATGTTTATTTGGGTTGTTCAGTCTTTTATCACAGTCATTGACTTTGTTTAATCTAGATGCTTTCAGCTGGGAAGAGTACCTGAAAGAAACATCATCCACACCTGCTCCAGCCAGCTGCTTCCGTCAGGTAGGCTTTGATGAAGTTAGAGAAAACAGTCTGTAACGAATCTGCCTTTTTACATCTACGTTGTGTTCTTGTAAAACATTTCATACTGGTGTTTTATAATTGGTTAATATTTTGGTAATTGCTAAAATATGATCATTATATCAAACCAAAACACCTGCTGATGGAAGACATTATTTAGAGAATCATGTAACATGTTTTATGACAACACACTGGAGGCAAATTATGGAAAAATGCTTGAAACAACTGCCACCTCTGGGAGAGCTTCTCCCAGACTCCAGGGTGGCTGAAGACACGGAATCCAAGTGGACCATGTCCTCTGCCTGCATTGTCAATGCAGCCACCCGTAGCTGTGCCTGTAAGGTCTGCAATGCCCTTTGTGGCAGCAATCCCCAAACCCGGTAGTGGACACTGGTAGTAAGGGATATTGTCAAGCTGAAGGAGTCCTGTCGAGCCTTGTTGGCTTGTGGGACTCCTGAGGCAGCAAGAGGTTATCGTGAGGCCAAGCGTGCCGACGTCTGGGTGGTTGCAGAGCCAAAAACTTGGGCCTGTGAGGAGTTTGGCGAGACTATGGAGGACGACTATCTGTTAGCCTCAAAGCGATTTTGACAAACCACCTGGCAGGAAGGGGAAAGCAGTGCTTTACTAACACTGTCTTCAGTGGGAGTGGGGAGCTGCCCACCCTGAAAGAGGACGTTGTTGGACTGGGGAAGGAGTACTTGGAGAGGAAAACTCCAGTACCTTATAGCTCTGGATGTTGTGGGGCTGTCTTGGCTGATATAACTCTTCAACATGGCGTGGAGGTCGGGGACAGTGCCCCTGGACTGGCAGAGTGGGCTGGTAGTTCCTCTTCAAACTATAGGGGAACACACTCCTTGGCCTCCCTGCGAAGGTCTATGCCAGGATGCTGGAGAGGAGAGTCCAGCTGATGGACTCTCTTCCTCCTGGCCGTAGAACAGTGGACCAGCTCTACACACTGCAGGGTTCTCAAGGGTTCATGGGTTTGCTCCACTAGTCCACATGTGTTTTGTGGTCCTGGATAAGGTGTTCGACTGAGTCTCTCATGGATCCTTCTTAAGGGGTGCTTTAGGAGTCCAGAGTTGGGGGCTCTTTAGAATCAGCCATCCCGTCTCTGTACATGCGGAGCAGGAGTTTGGTCTGCATTGCTAGTATTCTGACCTGTTCAGGTGCATGTTGGCGTCTGAAAAGGCTGCCCTCACCGCTGGTCCTCTTCATAACCTTTGTGGACAAGATTTCTAGGTGCAGCCAAGGACCGGAGGGGTTCTGGGAGCAGCGGATCTCATCCCTGCCTTTCAAAGAAGATGTGGTTCTGCAGGTCTGGACCTGCCAGGACCTGCAGCATTCACTGTGGTGCTTCGCAGTGAATGTGAAGCGGCTGGAATGAGAATCACCTGGGCCAAGTCCGAGGCCATGGTTCTCGATTGGAAAAAGGTGGCCCGTCTCCTTTAGGTTGGAGGAGAGTCCCTGCCTTAAGTGGAGGAGTTCAAGTATTCTGGGGGTCCTGTTGACGATTCAGGGGAGAATGGAGCAGGAGATTGACAGACAGGTCGGTCAATCTCAAGAGATCCCAGATACCAGCGGCTGAAATAAGCTCTCTGCAGAGGTTGGCTGGGCTCTTTCTTTAAGATAGGGAGAGGAGCTTGGTCAGTCAGGAGAGGCTCGGAGTAGAGTCGCCTCTCCTCCACACCGGGAGGAATCAGCTGAGGTGGCTGGACGCCCCAACGGGGGGAAGGGAAGTCTGGGAGTCTCTGCTGAGGCTGCTGCCCCCTTGACCCGGTTCTGGATGCAGCAGGGGCAGCAATACGAACTTGAAACAAGTTAAAGATCCTTTCTCTTTTTTAGTTCACTTAAAGGTTTTAAATGGATAAACCTGCTTCCTGTGTGTTGTACTTCTGATAAATGAACTCGCACACTATTGACTATGTTTATGTTAATTTTATGGAGCAGGGCTACAAACATCACTGTTGGAGAGCTATTGTCAGTAATAAAAGCAAGTGAAGGACGGTCTCTTCATACCTTTAAACAGAACCAGAATACCGCGGTTATTTTATGGCAACCTATAGTATGAACCAGTGGGAACATATATAGGCACTAAAGTTCAGTTTATATTTTTTCTTTTTTATATTACTCACAGTTTACTGTAAGGAAATGGGTTTATATTTCTAAAATGAGAGGTTTTAATAAGCAAGAGGTCACTAGCTGTTGTTATAGTTGGCTTATAATGGGAATAAACATGAATCAGAACCAAAATAACTATGGTATGCAGTGAAATCAATGTTTGGAGACGCTTATTTTTATTTAGATAACAGAGTTTCCATACCTGGGTATGAAACACTCTTCAGGTACGAATTTCAAGCAGGACAGGACAAAATTGTGACGCTTAGGTTTGAATACAATTACTTTTACAGCATCCTTTACACTTTGACCAAAAGTTAAACTGTTGGTTTAATAGGTGGTGTGGTCTAGTTGACGAAAGTCGGTATTACTCTGATTTTTCCCTTTCCAGCTTTAAACACCTGCTTACTGCAGCCCCCCCCCATCATCATTAATGCAATAAAGTAGACACTCATACATAACTGAGTTCATGACTCATCAGGTTTAAAAAATCTAAACGTAAATGTATGTTAGCAACCAGGATGTGAAACACTCATTATAGACTCATTAACTAACCATTTAAAAGCCAGTGATTTAAAATAGAAAAAAAAAGCAGTCTGTTTGGACAACTCAGGCCCCGTCCACACGAAGTCAAAACGAACACGAAACGCTGATATTTTCCACAACATTTGTCGTAAAGACGGAGACGTAAAATAAATGTGATCGTCCACACGAATGCATGAAAACGCTGCAAAATGTATGCCAGGCCTGTAAGTGGCGCTGTGGTGCCAAAGCAAAAATAGGCGACAAAATGTTGGGCATGCGCAGTAATATTTATACATGGTTGCCCTGCGGGTCCATTTTCGTGGTTCAGTCAAATTCAGGTGATGAACTATGTCGTCGATATTGCTCTGTTCTTCCTGGAGATATTCCAGAAGAAGAAGACTCTGGGTGAGTAGCATGAGCAGCAACCATTCAACACAGTACGGCGCCATTGTTGTTGTGATACTGTGTCGCGCATGCGTGTTTAGAGGCGACGCTATGGCGCATGCGTGTAAAAAAAAAAATGCGGTTAGAGCTTAAAGATGGAAACGCGAAAACGGCGTTTCAGAATCTTCCCACTCTGAAGGCTGAATAAAAAAAAGATCGTTTACAGACCCCCGAAACGCCGGCTTTGTATGGATGAGAGGCTGGTTTGGTGAAAAATTTGTGCGTTTAGGCCAGGGTTTGGCTTCGTGTGGACGGGGCCTAAGGTTGTTCATAATTACATTCAGGTTATTAATGCTTTATGAAAATGTATGAAACTGAGATTATTCAATAAATGTATTATCATCTTAATACCAGTTATAATATTTGCACTAATGTAACAAAAACAATATAATTCCATTGATATACATTGGATATTTTATTGTTGTCACCCCCCCCCCCCCCCCCGCTTCGCAGCGGTGTGATGGGCCAGGGCCTCTGAAGGCTGTAAGCCTTGGTGAAAACACTGCAGTGGTTCTACAGCGTAAACCCGCGGATCAAACAAACTTCAACACTGGAATTAATTAAGTATACGTAACAGGAAAGGTTGAGGCTAACAGTTTTAGCTAACAGAATAAGTAGCTTAGTATGTAGACCTCATGAATGAGCTCATTTAATGGAGATTTCTTCTTTCTCTTTGAATAAAAAAACTGGCGCTTGATGAGAAACTTAAGGGGTCGAGCTGGAAAAGACCAGAACTGGCGATGCCACTGTCTTCTTTCTTTCTTTCTTTCTTTCTTTCTTTCTTTGCTTGCTTCTTTGTTTGTTTGTTTATATCCTTTTTTGTTTGTTTCCTTTCTTGTTTGTTTGCTTATTTGTCTGTTTTTTTATTTATTTCTTTCTTTGCTTGCTTGCTTCTTTCTTTTTTGTTTTTCTTTTTTGTACATGTTTTAAAGCTTGCCTAAGCAAATCTATCTTTTTAATTATAAATGTATGATTGATTAATTATTAACTATAACCCATAATTCATATTGATTTTAACATTGTACCTCTTAGGGTTGTCAGGATTCAAAGATTTTCATCTCGACAGCGATTCTCAAGAAAATACTCGATACCACAAAGATAAAAACAAAGACCCCAACATTTAACAGAAATATTTTTATTAATAAATAAAATGTAATAAATAAATAAATACAATTAAAAAAAAAACATTATTTCAGGTTTTTATGCTGTGCACAATATTAAGTAAGTTTGATTTGAAAAAAAAAAATTATTGTACACAATTAATTTGTGTTTCTTCCTTGGCTATGCTTTACACACATAACTAGCCAAACCAGTTAACAAACAAAAATAAATGCTTTATTCCGGGAGGGAAGAGCAAACCTTGGGTTAAGCTGCTAAATAGGTTGTTGGAACCCAGGTTTCTCCACAGTTGAATAGGAACCTGATCTATACATATGTATACTCTGCCACAGCTCTGTTTATTTTCATAGCTTCTGGGCATCATATTTCCATTGTTGGTCAAACATGGATGGTAGAGTCGGCTGTGTTTGGTGGTGTTTGGACGCCGGTCTACTTCTCTCTGCTTCATTCTGTGACTTCAAGAGAGAAAATAACACTTTTCAGTGGCGTCGATACGAAAATGAGTATCGTATTCAGATACAATGTTTTAGTATCGATACTTTTTTGAGTATCAATACTTGGTCGCACTTCACTTTCGATTTGTTAGGCGCCGACTTTCTCACTCAGCCCTGTAGGTGGCGGTACTGCGCCACAAAGAAGGGAAGGAAGGGTTGCAACTAGTAGGCAGATAGGAGTGATCACTTTTTCACCTAACTGTCCTGTTATAATGAAGCAAGCTTTGAAGGTTATGAAGACAATCAAACTACATGCTTGTGGTTTGAGGTGCAAAAAATAAAATAAAAACGCAATATTGGAGATTGATCTAACAAACAGTCTTTCTCATTATAACCTAAACTGGACCATGGTCTTTCAACAGGCCTAACGATGCAATCAAATTATTTCTGAGATTCGTTTTCTAACCAAAGCTGTGATTTAAAGAATTTGCATTTATTTCAGGAACATTTTAATCCTTCAAATTTTGTCTCCATTGGTCCTGATGCAGGCTGGTGTCTGCAGCTTTTTGCTCTCTTTAAGGAAGCTACAGAGAAGAGCTCTACCTATGCTGTTATTCATATCGTACTGGCCATACTCGATGCTTGTTAGTTTCAGTGAACACCAAAGTCCATGTTTTATTCTGGCATTACTTGTCTCTAATTCCTTTTTGCAGCCAATATTTTTGGCACATTTTCACACTTGATTTTAGACTATTCCTCTTTTTTTTGACTCCTGACTAAAGGGCTGGTTATTGTCCCGCAGCAGTGTGTTGCAGTGAGCTTGACGCAGACATTTTTCATTTATGCTCAATTTTAAAGCGTGGTCTGCGCTTTATTTCACACCACAACGCAAAAGGGGAGAATCACGAACTAGCAGTTGGTCAAGATACGGCCGAGACGGTGAGGAAATGGGGGTAAGTTTGTGCGACAACGGAGGGACATGAGGGGAAAAAAGAGCGGGGATCCAGGTGGAAAAAGGGTCCCAGCGTTCTGACGCACCTCACTCTTCTAGCTAGTCCATCCTCACGAGTCGTTTTCCACAATCGCGGTCATACAAACAAAACAAGCCGGTAAGGTACCAAACAGGAGATACGCATAGTATAGAGCGGATATAGATCTGACCAATCAGAGGCCTCCTGTCTGCGGCCAATTACAATTTGGGAGATGTGCAGCAGATCGTCTGCAGAGGGGGCGCGGACATCTCTGCATTCAGGTATAATGCAGCCTTTACTGCGTCATCAGGGAATCTCCCACTTATTGCACATTTAAAAAGCACCATAAACAGTTTCTAAAAGTTCCCAGTCATGCACTCACTAATTTTATTGTTGTAATGTCATTGTCTGAACGTGTGTGTATGTGTTTTGACTGACATTGTATTATGTGATCTTGTGTTGTTTTGTCTTCCTGCCTCAGAACGACAGATGTAAATGAGCAACTATGCTATAATCAGCTCATTTACAATCTGTACGGAAGTATAAGGTTGTTCATTAATGTGCTCTGTCCTGATTAAATAAATAAGAAATAAATAAATAAATTACTTTCTTGTTTAGTCATGGTGGGCATGCACTAAATCACGGGTGTCAAAGTGGTTCCAAAAAGGGCCGTGTGGAAAGAAAACCTGCAGTCACACGGCCCTTTCTGGAACCACTTTGACACCCCTGCTCTAAAATGTACCTCAGCTGACATAACCTCTTTATGGTAAATACAAATCGTGCTTAATTTTTCCAACAAATGAAGCAAAAACAAAGTATAAAACACAGTAACAATAGGATGAGCCAACAGCAATCTATAATTTAATCAGACAAAGTTAACTAGTGCATAGAAAATCATAGTATAGGACCAGATCCCTTTTGGGTGGATTTAGACTCCTAAGGTGGGTTTAACTTTAGTTTTTGTCGAGTTAAATGCAGTTGTTATGTTTCCTTAGAAGTGGAGACTGATCCACAGTCATGACTAAAACTAAAGCAGCGGTGTGTGTTTTTTCTGTGTACCAGCAGGCTAAAGTCCCCCCCTCCAATGACTTCAAGGTGGGCATGAAGCTCGAGGCTCACGACCCTCGCAACTCCACCTCCGTTTGCATCGCCACGGTGATGGGGTTAACTGGCGTTCGTCTCCGTCTGCGCCTGGATGGGAGCGACAACAGCAACGACTTCTGGAGGCTGGTGGACTCCTCTGACATCCAGCCTATAGGCACCTGTGAAAAGAACGGAGACATGCTGCAGCCGCCGCTGGGTAAGACCCGGCGATGAAGCAGCTTTCAGCTTTTCATAGTTCAGTTCTAAGCGGTTCTTCTCTGCTTCAGGATTTCGTATGAACGCCTCTTCTTGGCCCATGTTCCTGCTGAGAACGCTGAATGGAGCAGAGATGGCCCCGGTAACAGCCTTCAAAAAGGTTTGTACGGACTTCAAATCGTCTTGGAAATTTCTAAAACCTACATGTTAGTAATATCTTCTGTTCTGCAGGAACCCCCAACACCCCCTCAGAATAGCTTCAAGCCAGGCATGAAGCTAGAGGCAGTGGACAAGAAGAATCCCTACCTCATCTGCCCGGCCACCATCGGAGAAGTGAGGGGCGACGAGGTGTTCATCATGTTCGACGGCTGGAGGGGGGCCTTCGATTACTGGTGCAAGTACGACTCCAGGGACATCTTCCCTGTGGGCTGGTGCTCCCTCACCAAGCACAGCCTCCAACCACCAGGCAACAGTGGTGAGTGTTTGCCACTAGGTGGCAGCAGATATTTGCCTCTGACAGAATGGGAGCAGTGAGGCTGTTTGGGCCATTCCTTCTCTATTATTATTATTATCAGCACACAACCTACTTAAAGTACCTAAGATATATCTTAAATAGGCTAAATATAGAGTTTGTAAAAAGTATTTTGTTGTATTTATTTATAAAATTTAGTTTTCTAAATTTAAATTAATGCTTTGAAAATTTGGTAGATTTGACATTCATTCATTTTTAAGTTTAAATCCTTATTTTACTTTTGAGAAATCCAACATATTTTCTATCATTAATTTGAAATACTCATTGATGTAGATTTCCCAAAATTAAAAAAGCATTTTGTTGTCTCAAATTTAGATTGAAATGAAACCTGTTTTATTTACTTTTAGATTGAGTGTTATAAAGAAGAACTTAATAGAAATCTCAAAATATCAGTTTTTTTATGACTTTAAATTGCTGTCCTTTGGTTAACATTTTAAATGGACTTTAGCATCCTTTGTTAGCATTATCGTTCCCAGCATGTCAGAAATGGCAAGTTTGAAAACATTTAACAGTCTTCCAAGGGGATTAAACAGTTAATCTTAAGGACTGTATAAAAAAAAAAAAAAAAAAAAAACCCACAAAAGTTCACAGCATGAATTGTAAAGGATCGGCATTAATAATATTTTAATCAGCAAACTACAAAAGTCACAAATTTTATGACTTGTTGACACTTTGTGTTCCGCTAGTGAAGCCAACTGAAAAGATAGTGGTTTAAGCAGTTTATCTATAAAAAGGAATGCTGACTGCTGCTTGCATCTAAGATTAAAATCCAACCACTGGATCAGGATAATCTCAATATTCTGGATTTCTCATCTTGCAAGGTAGAAAAATCAAAACATGCAGAGCTCAAATGTTTCAGATTTTTCCACATGTCCAGTCACGAGAGTTTAGACAAACATTTTAGGGTCTGGTTGCCTTTTCATAGAATATATATTTGCTCTGAACAGGTTTCCTTTTTAAAGATATTGTTTCTTTTACTGGCAACTTCCAGTTTTAAATACGCTGGCTTGGTTTTAAGGTCCGGATTTCTGTTTGGACGTGCAGAGACAGCCTAGAGTCGGTGTGCTGGTGTGTCTGTCTGGGTGGGATGGAGCTGCTGGAGAATTTATGCCGCTCGCATCTCCCCTGTTTACATTAAGCAGGCCTGTGCTCTGTCCGTTACACTGTTTCTCTGTCTGAGTGGGTAAAGGGAACAGGAGACTCTCATCCAGATGTGCAACCCTCACTATCTTGTACAAAATATATAGAAAATGTAAAATTGAAAGAGCTGCACAAATATTATGATGGTTTATTATTAATTAGTTAATCAAAATTACTTTACCTCAAAAAGTTAAAAGCATTTGTTATTCATACCCCCAGCAGATTTAGAATTTAAAAGGATTTCGCAAATGTTTATTTGCTCACAAGTCTAACATTAATTCATATCATTTATCAAATTGGACTAAATCTTTCTCTTTTTTGCAAAATTCCGATAATAATAAATGGATTGACCTAAAATATCTGTCTAACTTTGCCATGTTTGTCACCTTTGTGCTGCTGTTTCAGTTACCCTTCCAAAGAGTCTGCAGATTCTGCCATCTTCCCCCTCAAAGCCCAGCAGGCGTTCCATGCAGTCGCCCTACAGACTCCCTAACCCTCTTCCCGCCCTGCCTGTGAGGAAGGGGGTTAGAGGCCGTCGACCCAAGAGCGAGACGCTGGCTCTGCTCAAGGCTGTGGCAGAGGCTGCAGCGTCCCACAATGGAGCTGTTCCTGATAACACACAGCTAGTGCCGCGGGTTCACAAAAAGAGAGGACCCAAACCTGGAAGTAAGGTGAGGCTCAGCTGAGCAGACCCAGGCTCACATTTCAACTGATTTCACGTTGCTTCTACATGCCAGCCGTTTATCCGTCTCTTAAAGGGGTCAAAGAATACAAAACCCAGTTTACATTGATGAGTAACGATAGTTCATGGGGTGAAATGGATGTACAGAGAATTACAAACCCCGTCAACGCCTCCTTTCTCTGCAAATCTCACAATTCTAAACTTTCACCATAAAACGGGCGAATTGAAACGAAGCACAGAGTTGACGTCAATTGTGGAATATTGCCTTATTTGGTTCTGGCCTGTAGTTTTGTCTCGCCCCAAAATTGATATACATTCACATACAGACTAGGGATGAAATGGTTTTTGAAAACCGTCCGAACCGTTCGGTTTGACTGTCTCGGTTCGGTTCGCTTTATTCGGTTCATGCGCTGCTCCTTTTTCTCATAGGCGAAGCGTTTACACTCTAGAGCAGAAGGTGGCGGTACTGCGACTAAAGCCAAACACCAGTATTAAACAAGAAGAAGAAGAAGCGAAGCAGCGTAGCCAGGTGTAGCAGAAAAAAATCAGTTGTTGTGGAGAATTGTGTGGGTATGGCGAGTGGGAAAGAACAGGAGTTGGAAGACGCGCCAGCAGCACTTTATAGGTCTGCTGTATGGGACCACTTTGCATTTAGAGTGACCTACGATGACGGCGGAAAGAAAGTTGTGGATAAAAGTGCAACAGTGTGCAAGCATTGTGCAACACGTTTTGTGTATGTTAACAGCAACATGTCATGCTAACCCCGAAATCCCACATACTCCGTCTCCGCTGCGCTCCAGACCGGCTGCTCAAAGCAAAGCCTACAGCCTCCACTGTAGCTCCCGTCCGCTCCGCTCTGAGTTCCTTGGAGATCGTAGAGGGCATGCGCGAGATGATTAAATTCAAAGCAGCAAAACATGCGGAAATGATCCAGGGTTTCTGCAGATCATTAAAAATAATTCATTAATTTTGGGGGATTTTTTCATTAATTTCATTAATTTTTATGGGATTTTGGGGTAACAATCAACATATCCCGAACCGAAAACCGTGAACCGAACCGTGGATTTTGTGAACCGTTCCACCCTTAATACAGACTGTGAAGACCGATGGTGCAGAATCATACCAGCAAAACTGGTTCGCGACCAGTTTTGCTGGTATGATGTGTGTGGTTGCAGAAGTCTAATCTGCCCTTTACCGTGCTTCCCCTTGCCTGCTCTGTAAGGCAGGCGGGGCGGGGGGGAAGCACGGGGGCTGCCAGTGTCGGGCTCCAGCCACGGAGCTGACCGCTCGGTCCAAATGCCCGGTGTGTTTCGACTACGTGCTGCACTGTAGTCGACCAAAATCCACGACAAATTTGAAATTCCACCGGGACATTTATTTTAGATATGAAAAGTAGGACATGTCCAGGAAAAGGAGGACGTCTGGTCACCCTACCATATCAACAATTTCAACGTTTCAGTGAGTGAGTGCTTGTTGCTATGATGCGTCTTTGCTCAGCAGCTTTGCTCGTTGTAAACCAACCAATCAGCGCACAGCTCATCTAAATATTCATGATCATACCATAAAAGGAAGAAAACCTGTAGTTTCATTCTATGGCTTTGAACCAGGCTTGCATTAGGGCTCATAGAACAGCTAATATGCCATTTTCAGCCCAACCAGTGTTACACAGCCTATTCAGAGACCTAAAGGACCAGCGCCAAATACCCTATAGAATCATTCTATGACCCCTTTAATTAATTTATACTTTATTTTTTCCAGAGAAAGCCTAAGATTCTTCAAAGCCCGACACATCTACCAAGCTTCCAGGTTCCACAGGAAAATCCTCCCAGCCACAACTCGGTGGTGTCAACAGGTGAAGGCTCTTTTGCATGCCAGTGAGCTGCTGGACGCTCAGCCTTGATTCGCAGACTCCTCTCTGGTCGCTAGTGTCTTCAATGCTCCTCTTGTGTTTGTGCTCTGCCTCAGTGTGTGTGTACGTGAATAAGCATGGGAACTGTGGCCCCCACTTGGACAGGAAGCAGATGCAGCACTTTCCGGACCACTTTGGCCCCGGGCCAGTGAACGCTGTGCTCCAACAAGTGGTCCAGTCATGTATAGACTGTGCCTACCAACCTAAAGTCCTTCTCAGTGTTCTGCAGAGTGATTCAGGAGGAGGGGAAGCCGTCAGAGGTAAAAAGTCAGGTCTTGTATCTTGGGAAGGGAGTAAAACGGTCTGCATGTTCCACGGCTTTGATGCAATAATGTGTTGTTTGTCTTCAAAGTGAGAACAGATGGTGGTGTTCGTGTGATCAAACTTCCGTCTGCCTCCAGCGCTTCCTTCGTCTTACGCTTCCTTGAGAGCATGTGCCGCCATCTTCAGTGTGACAACCTGTTCAGCAGCCAGCCGTTCAGCCACTATACAGCCTACGACAGGAACAAGTCTGGTAAACGATTCACTCTGTTAGAATTATAATTGAAACTTTATTAATCTCTAATTTAGCTCTGCATTTAACCCCTCCCGTTGGGGAGCAGTGGGCCTGCTCAGAGACCCAGAGTGGCAGTCTGTGGGAGTGGGGCTCGAACTCCAAGCTCTATGCCCGAACCACTCGGCCGCCACTCCCCAATGTGAGATTAATAAAGTTTCAATAAATAAATAAAATGAATAATAGGAAAACGGGCTGCTTTCGACTGTTAGGAAGAAGCTCATGATCCTTTCAGGTAGATTTGGTGTTCTTTTGTTGGGCTCTTACAGCAGGTTCTTCATCATGTTTTTACTTCCAGTGAAAGAAGAGGCACTTGATGTTCCCTCTCTGAGTCGGGGCAGTAAACGCAGCCTGTCAGGGGTCTCTCCTCCGTACGCCGCCCCTCTCTCTCCTAAACATCTACGGGCCGAGGCACATCCGTCTGAAGGTACCGCTCATATTTTAAATGTTTTTCATTTTTTATCATGTTGGAGACAGAAATCCCATTAAACCAGAGAACATTTCCCCAAAAAAAACTCTGCCATATGTCCTCAGTAACCTACGGAGCCCCTAAAGGGACAAGGAGGAAAAAATAAGCTTTTGCGAGATCCCACAATACTTTTGCGAGATCTCGCAAAACGTTGTGCCATTTCAGCTAACCGGAAGTAAAACAGACACACAGTGGAGG